TAACTATAATATTATAACTATGATAACTATAATATTATAATAACTATAATATAATAACTATAATATTATACTGTTATAATATTATAGTAACTATGATAACTATAATAACTATAATATTATAATGAATATAATAACCATAATAACTATAGTATTATAATAACTATAATATTATGATAACTATATTAACTATATTATTATATTAACTATACTATAAGAACTATAATAATCTGCTGACTCTTGATAATAAACACAAATTTTTATATCTTCATTTCTTTGAAATACATTTTTAAATCATGTCAAACTTATTTGCTTACAAAAGCAGTAAAAGCTTAATTAAAAATGTCGGGGGGGGGGGGGGGGGGTCGGGTTCGGACCTGTAATTAGAGTTAATTCGTTGGGTCGGGTCAGGTCCGGAAATAAAGACTACGGGCTGGGTCCAGGTCGGATTTTTTAGGTCCACGTTCAACTCTAGTACTTCGCGGTTCGACTTTTGCAGACTCGCTCTTTTGCGGTTTTTCAAAGTAAGAGTGGACATGACACACAATTGGCTGATTGATGGATGAGCCACATGATCAGCATGGATTGTTCATTCAAAATAAATTATTTTAAATGATTTAACCCCTGCTGCACCTCTGTGCAGCCCACAGGTGCAGGGAGAAGCTCCCTCTGCAGCCTGTCATGATCTCCGCTCTCTACCACCCACACATTTCTCCTCCGGCTGAAGCAGCTTTGTGAAGGGTTAACCTTTGATATCCTGCTGCGCTTCTCTACAATTTAAATTTAAATACTGTAATACTGTGTGTTTATTTACACAGGAGTGAGATTGGGAGTGAAACTTGAATTTGGACGTGGTTTTCCACTTATCATGGGGGGTGTGGTCCCCTGAACCCCATGATAACTGAGGGACCACTATACTTTGAAATACTCACTGACTTGTCCATATTTTATATTTTCATCTCTGTCCTGTTCACAATTATTATTCATTCATTATGATAATGCTTCAGGCTGGTTATCTGTACAAATTCTGACAATACTCTCAGAAAGTGATGACTGGACATCTACAACCGATTTACTTTTTTTAAAGTTAACCATATTCAAGATGGCTGTCACAGCTAATTGATCAACAGAAAAATGTCTGTAACTCAGTTTGATCTATTGTGAGACAAAGTCTGTGGTTGTATCTGAGACTCATCTCCAACATACACTCCAAGCCCAAACAAATCACACAAGATTACACAAAGTGTTTTTTTAATTAATTTTTTTATAAACCCGAGGAGGATTTTAGTTAAACTGCTGGCATCAAAGTATTCTTTTAAGGCAGTGGGTCCCAACACTGGTCCCTGAGGAACACCACCCTACATGTTTCAGTTGTTTCCTGCTCCAACACACCTGATTCGGTGATTTAATGACTTCCTAAAGTTCTGCAGAAGTCTGTGAATCACTCATTCATTCAAATCAGGTGCATCAAAGCAGGGAAACGTAAAGAATGCAGGATGGTGTTCCTCAAGGCCCAGGGTTGGGAACCACTGTTTTAAGGAATTTAAGTTTTTTTATTTTTAATGTTTGTTTTTCTGCTGCACTTGGTGTCTTTGCTTGCAGAGCATTTGAGACTCAGATGACTCGCATGGAGGCAGAGTTTGTTCAGAGAGAAGCCCCCCCCTCGTATGGTCAGCTGATCGCTCAGGGTCTCATTCCCCCGGTGGAGGATTTCCCCGTGTACAACTCTACTCAGGTAACAGAACTGTGCACATAAACATCCTCGGGGGTGAGGAAATTGATCAACAGTTTGTGTTTGTGAACCCCCCCCCATCCAGGCGTCTGTCTTACAGAACCTCCGTTTGGCGATGCGCAGACAGATCAGGCGCCACTCGTCTCGCCGCTCCTCTTCGTCCTCCACTCGACGGCGTCTCGGGCATCTGTGGAGCCGGCTGATGCACAGCAGAGGTCGAGGCAGAGGTCACTCTGCACTGCTGGACTCCACCGGGCCCACGCAGATCATCCTGGGGCTTCACAGATACCACACCGTGGGAGAGCAGGGGGGGGCGGGTGCGTCCACGTCAGGAGCTGGACTCCAGGATGAGGAAGAGGAGGCCGATCTGCAGAGCTCGTGCTGCTCAGCGTCGGTGGACCTGCAGGCGTGCACGTCAGACAGCCCCACTTCTCCTCTCTCCTTGCACTCTGCAGAGAGTCTGGATCAGGAGGAACTATCACCTGCCAGCAGGTGGGGTGCCGGGGCAGCACAGTCAGAGCCTTCAACACCTCAACCAGCCTCTGCACCCTCCTGCCACCACCGGCCCTCTAGAAAAATGGTTCTGGAGCTCGCTGTTAACCTGAAGGGTGTTTCCTTAAGACATTACTCACCTTTGGGGCCTTTATCCCCCGTCTCCCCCACTGTGTTTGCCAGCAGCTCCCAAATGCATTCAGCTCAGATTCAGCCAGGGGGGTCAGAGGTGGTTTCACCTGCAGAGCCCAGGTCCTCCTCAGTCAAAGCAGAGGATGGTGGCTATCATTTCAGCACCGATGTGCAGAGCAGGGACATAAACATCAAGGAGGAGACAAAGAAAGGAGGAACCAGCTGATGTGGGAGGCTCTCTGTGAGAAAGGAGGAGATTCAGGGATCCTCCTCTCACTGCAGGGACCTGGCTTCTGCTCTGATCAAGTGTCCTTCAGTAGTGTCTGCATCAGAGTGGAAGGGGAGGAGCTGCGTCGTGTTCCTCCACGTGCAGAAGGCATCCTACTTGTTATTCTGAATGCTCACGCCGTGCGTTTGCACAAAACCTTGCATATGCAGTCTTTCCTGAAACCAGCATCTCTTGAACATTTTGCATAGAAGCCACCTCGTCTGACCTGCTGCGAAATGAAATGTGCCAGAAACCCAAACTCCGGTTTGGATTCTAGCAACGAAAGAGCGCACCTTTGGATCCAAAACCACTTAGTGTCATTATCCAGAGCCATCTTACGCCGCTTCCTACTGTGAGTCATGAAGCCTTTGAGTACCACGAGTTGATATTATGGTATCGTGGCTGCTCTGTCATTTTGGGATGATGATAGTGATGTTTCATATCTTTAATAGAGTCAACAAATAACATGAAAAGGTCAAAACTAGGAAGTCTTATATGTATATGTACTTTGTAGTCTTGTATGTATAAATATATATATATACTGTATATATATATATATATATATATATATAT